AGAACCATTCATTTTGCTACTGGTATTACAGAAGATGCACATCACAGACTATCTGCTATGATGAGGTATAACTTAATAACTGTAGGTTGTCCAAGATGACTTAGTTTGAACACAGCTCTGAAAAGAGCTGCTCGGAAGTAAGATGTAGTCATTCATAATGTTTTATGATTCACAAATACAACCAATGCATATTATCAGCATTTCAGGTACTTCAGCCCTGTAAGTGCACATTTATGCCCAGCATAGCACGAGCATATAAGACTGATCTTTTTTTCCTTGTAAAATCCAAATGTAGCAAAATGGAAAGGAATAATTTATGGGCTTAATAGGTAGGCTTGTCCTTATCCATGATAAACAATTCTGTGTAAAGGAGAGAACTGCTTAGTTGCTGTTCTCAAAGCAGATCCAAGGCTGACTACTGCACCTTCTGAAATGGCTAATGACCGAGCTGGGCTCTGATACATCTTGGAAAATAAGCAACATTTGAAGGCACTAAAGATAAAATATAACTCCAGTTTTGTGGAATGACCTAATTATAACTATGCTCCCCAAAGAATTGGGGACACTTATTTGGCAGGAGCTTTTTTGAAGCATATTATTTTTATTGATTTTATTTTAGCTTATATGGCTTTGTTGTTCGCTAGGACAAAGTCTGTGTGAGTATCCCTCTGCCTTTATACGTTGGTGGTTGAGGTAGCCTGATTATTATGATGATTCCTTTATGCATCACTAGAATGCAGTTTAGGGTTTAGTAATATTGAATAGTGGAAGTACTGGTAATATTGTTTAGGTTTCAGTGTGGCTTTATGCACTAATCAGGTTAATCTAAACAGCTGCAAGTTTTAGTCACATATTTTTTACAGACAAAAGTGTAAGCACACAACAGAAAATGCTGTTCCTTTTCTTGGATTCCATGATTTTTGTGGGCATCTTAGTCTTGCATGATTGTGTGCTGCATTTGGAAGCAAAAGCGTTTTCAGAGGTAGCTGTCCCAATTTCAGTTCTTAGGAAGTAGCCTGTCTTAATTGGTCTGCTGTAAATATTTCTTAAGGGGAAGAAAAAGAAAAAAAAAAAGAGAAACAAACAAAAACAACAGAAGAATTGCTAAAGAAAAAGCAGAGGACTAGTGTTTTCAGGAAATAATTTATTTTAGCTGTCTGTGTTACTCTGACTTGCAGTGAAGAGCTTTGAAGCTCCCAGAAGACTGGTATAGCGTCAGAAATACGTGAATTCTCCAGAATGCATTTTTGCTTCAAAATGCATTATTGTAATAGCAACATGTGTGCTCCATTCATTAGCTGGAGCTTTTACCTTTGCATTACATTCAGAGAAACTTTCTTACTGGTCTTTTAAAATATGCTTAAATGTCCAAATAATGGCAATTAGCATTTTCAGAATTATTACTTTGAAACACCTGAGTTTGTTTTCAAAATGAATGCCAGCACAGTTCTCCCTTTAATAAAAAAAAAAAAAAAAATCCACGGCCATCCTGTTTGTGGGTGGTTGTGCTTTTTCTAGTACCTGGAGGCTTCTTCTGGTTTGCTCAAGGCCACAGCCTTCTCGGTAACTTGAGGCAGGGGGTACCGCTGGAAGCAGCTCCAGTTGGGGTCTTAGAGTGGAGTGATGTGCTTACTAACTACTTGTTGGTTATTCCAGCAGAGTGGAAGGAGATTTAATCTGTTCCTGAAGCGACGTCTCAGGGTAAAACAGTGATGAATGATATTGCAAGTGGCTTGGATGGCTGCAGTAATAACATGCTTCACTGTGTGATGTCTTGTGTTAACTGGGAGTTCACAGTCGCAAATATTTTGTGCTTTTTCAGAGAACTTTTTCACATGCATCTTGATATGATTTAACAAGGAGCAGGCAGAGACATATTTCCCTGAATTACTCGTCTTGGCTCCTACTCAAATAAAATGAAAACCCAATTCGGTCCTTTATTACTAAATGACAATTTGCTGATGGATGTGGTCTAACAACAAAAAAACAAAGCTTCTTTAGCATGAAGTCAAATTTAGTCCAGGATACTAGCTTCTAGAGCTTTGCTATATGAATCTTCTAGTCTTTTAAACAATTTGGTAGAGCTAAATCCGAATAAAATAAACAATATTATCTAATATTAACTTTTTTAGCAGTGAGACAATAGCCTTTATTTGCTTGATATTAATTGTTGTAGCTTACTCACCAGAAAAGATCATCTTATTAAACCAATATTCTGGCATGCCGATATGAATGAAAATATGAATTTTAGTTGATCTGTTAGAATATTAATTTTCCTGTTGCGTTGATGCATTTTATTTTCTTATTTTTTTTCCTCAGTTTTGAAATGTAACCCCTGTATTGTTTGTGTTCTAGTTTTGTATGTGATCCTTGCTGGGACGTATTTCTCTGTACTGGTTGACTTTTTGAATTGTGTTATGTAGAAGAAAATGCATGGAGCTTACTTTTTGCCACTTGCTTCAAGTTGATGAACTGTGCCCTAGGTTGCTTTGGTGTAGAGTGGCGTTCCTACTAACAGCAGAAGAAATCACTTGTTGTGATCATTTGTGACACATTCTAAAAACTGTGAAAGAATAAATGGTAGCAGCTCACTGGCTACACTAACATATATAATATTTATCCTTCAAACCAGTCGTGTACATGCAGTATTTGTGGATATAGGCAGTTAATTTGGAAATGATTTTAGCTGCATATAGCCCTTGTTAAAACTTGACCGAGTGTACCTTGAGCTACGAAGAAATGGAAAAATGGAGGCAATTTGAGAAAACTACTTTGTCTTCTGTTATTTTAGAGCAACAGCAATACTTGATTTTTAATTATATGCCTATATCTTCCACAGATTGATAAAAGACATCAAAGCAAAGATTCAATTTTCTTCAGGGATGGAGTCAGGAGAATTGATTTTGTTCTCTCCTATGTGGATGATCTTAATAAAGAGTGGGAAAAAAAGCTGGTAAGTTTTGCTTTTCTGAGATGTTCCTGATTCTTATCTATCCTAACCTGAGTATCAAATTGCAAAGTCTTTCACATTAGTACACTCAGCTGGAATTGAACTTTGTAAAAACATTTTACAGAGGCGAAAAAAGCTGTTCTGTGTACAGAAATTTGTGCAAGTTACTGTTGTGCATTGAGACTCAATTTTACTAGATTTTCGGAGGCTTTATTTCCTGAATTGATCACTCACCATTGATTAAGGCTGCTCAGTATATCATACAATCAGCTTAATGCCAAGTAACACAAATGATTTTGCTTTCTTCATTTAACAGTCTAATAAAAACTGAGGCTTTGGTGGAACTGTATCTGTAAACAATGTTAAATGAAGGGAAGTTTCTTCTAAATAAAGCATTATCCAAATGAGAAGTAAAGATAACATTGTTTATATATTTTATACAAATGGGCTGTGTTTTGATTATTCACCCTTGCCTTCAGTTAACAGAAAACTAGATCCATGTAAGTATCTGCGTAACTTTCCTTTTAAGAATTGAAAAAAATTTTTTGTTCCTCTGCATAAAACAAGTGCAGCATCTCCTCTTTGAGCTTTACCCTGTGTTTGGTTTGTTCTCTACGTATATCCTCATTGTTTTAATAAAATATTTGAAATGTCTTTGACAAGAGAGCTCCCGTGGAACAAAGCACAGTATAACCACCTCCTAAGTAACAAGCAAGTTTGGGCTCCCCTCTGAAGTTCCAATTAGTGATCATCCTTGAACTTGTCAGCAAGACCCAGTTGCCTGAATGGTAACAATTGGGTGGACAGAATCAATAAATGACGTGTTGGTTCCTTGCTCTCACTGACATTTGAGCAATACTTGAATTCAGGCTATTTAAAAATCCAGTACTACAAGAAGCGATCAGGACAAATAATAAACTTACATACAGCATAACATTTAAAAAAAAAAAAAAAAAAGGCAGGGTTTTTAATGAGTTTGTTTCCTTGTTATTTGCTGCGGGCTTTCTGAGCCAGAAAGGGTTATGTTTGCACACTACTCTCTAATAGATATTTCCAAAGTTTGCTCTAGAAAAGAAAGGGGGAGGGAAACAAACCACAACTGAAAAGCCATTCTCACGTAATCGCATTATTCTTAAAGATAGGGCTTTCTGAAGAAAATAAATTATAGCAAAGCTTAGGACAGAATCAGAAGCAAAACTGAAGGTCTGTGAAGTAAAGAATGTTTTTCATCTATATCTTGTCATATTTAAGTGTTTCATAATTAAAAATGATAATTTCCTTTGAACAAAACGTGCAAGATTGGGCTGGTAAAAAATAAATAAATGCTTACTGCTTCCTTTATGAAGGAAATACTGCTTTCGTTAAAGACTTAGGCTGCCTGTACTTGCATGCAAATATGATCTAGTGTAGAACACAGCCCCTGCCTCTTACTCTTGTTACCATGAAAAAGCAAGAATCTCTGTCATCAGCTGTTCAATGCCTTTCCCTGCTTGGGCATCTCTCTGCCACCTTCAGTTACTCAGGTTGGGAGACTTGCTTGGGAGACCAGTGTTACATTATAGCTGTGGCATCCTAGGTTTATACAAAGGTGTGCTTTTTTAAACTCACCCTGCTGCTTTATCAGGCCTTGGCAGGCTGTAATCCTAGCTAATTTCTTTTTCTACCATAAAACAAAATGCATTTTAAAAAGAAGGGAGAGGAGGCCAGTCAGCGTAGAGAGGAAAAAGATATCCATGCAAAATATGTGAAAGCAACTCTTAAAATAAACATTTTCCATTAGTCATACTCCAATAAAACGTGGGAAGAAATGGAGGCTATTTAGGTAATATTTCAAGTTGGAAGGAAAATGGAATCATAGCCAGACGAGAGACCATGTACCTGGGTGTCATTATTTACTGAAGGATTGACGTGGAGGGGGGAAAACCAAGATAACGTTGTGGTTCCTCTTGGACATAAAAATGCTTTTAGTTATGAAGAAGCATTTGTCTTGGAGGAGAGTAGAACACCTACATGAAGTTTTGTGAGATTTCATTCTGTATACATCTCTTACCAGCAGAAGTTGACAGCACCATGAAAGAAGGCCTTGGTTTTGTGGCTCTGCAGGTTAGCACTGTGCTCCCAGACTGGGCAGGCGTGGAGATGTCGGTGTTACAGCATATCAGTTCTCATGTAGTTCTTGAGAATCTGCAGAGAAAGTGAAATTTACCCTATTTTTATGCTCAGCATAGGCCTTGATACAATGAATATGCCAGTAACTTAATATAGACATGTCAGCTCAGAAGTACTGTGCTGTTGTATTTGTTGGAACGAAATCCAAATATTGACGCAGTGCAGCCTTTGGAATTTGCTTGATACTGGACTTGTGGTTGTACGGTTGTTGCTGGAAAGAAACGTGCTTTTCTTCTACTGTAGTACAATGATACAGCAAAATCTAAGAGCTTAGAATAGAAATGTTTACAGGAAGAGAATAACAGTTGTGACAAAGGGTTTTGTTTCCTTGTCTCGAGGAAACAGCTTTATTCTGCATTTCTAAGAGAGGAATGAAAAAGTTCTTTGTGTGCTTCCCCATGGCTCTGATACAGATGTAAGAGGCGGTCTGTTCATCTTCTCCCTTAGCTTCATGCAGAACAAATGCATTAACTTCTTTGATGTTCCCCAGAACCTCTCCAGCTTAAACTCTGTTTTGAATTTGCCTTCTATAAGCTACAGGAATAAATCCTAAACACAAGGTCTCTGTAAACAAAAATGAAGATTACATTTTTGTGAGACAGAAGTTGTATTTTCCTTAAAGCCTCTAGGAGACAGCAGTATTGTATTTTATCTGTATATGAAATATATGAGAATATGGAAAAATGAATAAATTTTTAAAAACATGTTTAAGAAACTATTCAGGTAGGACCAGACGTGATCTTTATTGCCCATACGTGAATTTCTTCACACACACAGACACACACACACACAAAACAAAAAACAAAACAAAACAAAAAAAAAACAAAAACAAAAACAAAAAACCAAAGCACTGAGACTTTGGGATTTCTGGGCAGAGTAATTGTTGCTTTCTGTTTTTACTGGAAGCAGACTCCACCTGTCCCTGTGGGACACGGAGACACAAAGAGACATTATCTAGACCTCTCCAGCTTTTCAGCATCTCTGGGAGAAAGCAGGAGCTGCTCTGACACCAGGTAGCCCAAAGCCAGGGAGCCAGCAGCTGCAGCAGGCTCAGGTGCGGGCTGCTCCCTATGCAGCCCTTTTGGGTGCCAGCTGGCAGGAGCCCAGTGCAACTGGGTGCAGAATTCACAGGTGCTTTGCAGCATGTGGCTGTTCCTACAGGTGGTAGTTGTTTCCCAGTGCCCTATGTGAGGCTGTGGTCAGAAGGCTGAGCATCCTGATGTGCTTTTTGTAAGGCTGGCGTTGCCTGCCTGAAGGGAGGGGAAGAGTAAGGAGGGAGGCAGGGGTTTGACTAAGCAAAGTGTTGAATACTTTAAAAGGGTTATTTTTCTGTTTAGTGATTATTTGTACTGGCAATAGCAGCATTGTTACCAAGGAACAGATCTGGAACAGTTGTCTGTGTATCTTGAGTAGCTAATTATCTAGTGATGCATCTGCACTGGGCATATTAGTGCTGGTGGACTTTGGATCTTGCTTTGTTAATCTTATCAGGAGGGTTCATTGTGCTGAAGCATGCATTAAGGCAAAGTCATCCTGTACCAGCCTGGGGGTTAGCCACAGCGTGCTGGGAGAGGTGAAGGCTATATCCCCCACTATCCTTTGTGGGCCACAGTGGTCTCAGAAAATATGGTTTCTGCCTTTTGCAGATGCTTCTGAGAGATTTAAGAACTGTATTTAAACAAAACGTGGGGAGGGGAATGAGCCCACTATCACTGGCCTAATCATGGGATTATCTTCCATCAACCCCCTGTGACAGCAGGGCAGGGTCTGTAGTGGAATCCCAAGAACGTGCCCCGAGTGTGGCTTTTTAGGGTTGAGGGAGTGAGCTTACAGTTGTCATGTGTATATATTAAAAACACAAAAAGTAGCACAGGGCCAAGAGTACATTTTGTCCAATGTAAGCCTTTCATAGCAATATGAAGAAATACAGCATTTGACAGGAAAGGGGAGTAATGTTTTAGTTTTGTTTGTTTTTCTAGCAGATTGATTTGCTTTTAAAGATGGCTGTTTCAAGTGGTTGCAAAGTACAGTATATTCACGTCTTTCAGAGAAGGTGGCTTACGAGATGAGAGCAAGGTGGTAAAAAGCGTAATTTCTTTTGGAGCAGTTCAGTTTATCATCCTAAATAAATAGTAAGAAGAATTCAGTAATCAGGGCCGTACCCTTTGGCTCTGTCTATTGCTGGGCTGCACAGATCAAGGAGGAGCTGACTGGTGAGCATCTGGTGGCACAGAACCCCTGGGCTGACTTGCTTGGATCTCCTCCAACATATACGAGGGCAAGAATGCATGGCAGTGTGCTTTGTTTGGAGAAAATGTAAGCCAGGACAGCATATAGCTTTGGATACAAGACTTGAATGTCAGCTTTTATATACCACTTCTGAATGTAATTGTAAATCACTTGCTAGTTGTATTGTTTTCTCTTAGATCAGTAGGTCAGCAAACACATTCTTTGGTGTTAATACAGGTACACATAGGCAGGTTTGTGGGATAGATTAATTAAAAGAAATACACGGAATTGTGTTTGCCTCAGTACGCCTCAGGAGTCACCATGATTCCGGAGTTCATCTAAGTTAGTGTCTAATTTAATAACTAATGATATTTGGCAAAATCGGATGTTAGAGGTTAAAATGCAATGCCAGTAACACAGTAGATACAGCAACACATTGTAGCATAGATCTGAGGGCCATTAAACCTGTTCTTCAGTCTGTATTCATTAATCTGAATAGTTCATGCAAACTCTGATGTAACTAGGTCAGCTTGCTTCTCACAGAAACACAGCAACATAAAATGGGCTGAAGACTTTGTGTTTTTTTTTCCTTCTTGGTGTGTGTTGTATAAGGCTATGGTAGAGAACGTGTCACACATCACTGCAGGTTTTAGCTAGAAATCAATTGGTTGTCTAGCTAGTGCTCTCTAATGAGGCTACAGCTCAATATTTAGTATGACTTGTGGTTGTTCTGGCAGTTCTTCAGCAAATGTTATGTAATTAAAAGGAAATTAATTCAGTCTCCCAATAGGAGCAAAAGTTCTGCAGAGAAGGAGGGGAAGGAGATCTTGCCTAAAGACACTGCGTAGGGATTACTTGGCAAAGAAGCAGAGTTGAAGCAGGATACCTTGGCATTAGACTCACAGAGGTCATGCACCCATCACACACTGCCACAGGCAGGTTTCCTTATCTCTGCCTCAAGTCCATGCTGATTTTATACAGACTAAGCACATGTGGGCTTACACGTGGTGATTTTGTACTCTTATCTAGTTTTACAGCTAAATAGTTGATGAGGCATACTGCTTGAATGGTCTGTAAGGGGTACCTGAACATCTGCACCGGGTAGGGTCATTAAACTGGTGACGAGATGTCACTGTAAACAATAATAGAGCAGTCTTCTCAAATGCTTCCAGGATTTATCTTTTTATCCAGTTTTTCCCATTCTCTTAGAAGTACTGTTGAATTGTCATAATAACCCTCCTAACAACTCAGAAATGCTCAGTGCTCCAGAGTTGAATTGTCAGCTTTCCAGGGTGGCACAGCTTACGAGCCTGTTCCTAACAAACACGTAAGTTTGGTGTTGTGGGTCAGCACAATTCCCCTTCTGCTGCTAAGAGTCTACTGGTGTGCTGCAGCTGGCTTGTGTCTGCTGGGCTGGTTGCTTTTACAGAGCTTGTGTAGAGTAAAGGGGTCTTTATCAGGATCCCTGGAAGGAGCTGAAGCCCGCAGTCACTATCAGTTAGTTACTGACTTCATGGGTGAGTAATGTGCGTTTATTTCTCTGCAGGAAAGAAGAAAAGAATTTGAGAGCAATCTGCAGAAGGCTGGTTTAGAACTAGAAACAGAAGACAAGAAGGTAACAAATAAAAAGGCATCTCAAGAAAAATTTGTACTAAAGAAACCTGTAAATGACTAAACATAAAGCACTTTGCCTTGTTAGAAAAATGATGAGATTGTAGCAGATTTCATGGAGCATGACTAGCTTAAGTGAAAAAAGGTACATGTTATCTATTGGAGTTATTTTTCCAGGCAGGCTCTTAAGTATTGTCTAAAGAAAGGTATTTTGTTTCAGGAAGAACTAAATGCTTTCGATTTTATAACAAAAAGAAAGCAGTTTCAAAATAGCTGTGAATTCGCTTAAACCGTGTAAATAGGAAGTATGTTCATAGCTAGGTTTAATCTCAGCTAACAACTTGGAATTCGGTGACTAGATTAACACATGCTCACTGGCTGTTGTAATTACACTGAGGATGCACCCTGGTTTAACAATATCAGGATGGTTGATTAGTGTCATTGTTTTACTTTGTCAGTGGAGAACTGAGGGTGCTGACAGTCAGCACCTTTTTTTTTCCTGCCAGAGACTGAGTGGAGCAAAATAACTTCTTGATGAAATTTAGGCTCTGTAACATCCACAGATGGAGATTCATTGAGCAATATGTTAAAATATGATTGCTGTTATCTCCTCTGTGTGTGTGTGTGACATGCTGAGCAATGCTACAAGGACATGCGCTGTGGGGTGAGGCCTGCAATAAGATTATTCCTTATCGTAGGTGTAAGGCTGTAACAGATATTGCAGCTCTTGATAGGATGTTGTTGCAAGTAGTCTTGTGTGATATACTCTGCTCTATGAAAACTGCCCCCTCCAGGAAACAGAGCAACTTTAAAATCTACCACGGTGGCCTGAAGGATAGCTGGATTGCCAAGTGGCCAGGCCTGCGCAGCAAACCCTTGCATTTTGAATGCACTCAGAATGTAATGAGTGTGTTCAAGCCTCAGAGTACAAGATAAATGTAGTCTGAAAAGCCTTTGTGAGCATTTAGGAGTGCACAGATTATTTGTGTCTTCAGTCAACCACCCAGATAGGCTATTCAGTGTTTAAAAAAAGAAAGTCCTAAAGAAGAAAATCTTTTTTTTTTTTTTGAAAGCTTAGAAAAATATTTGAAAGGAAATAAATTGTGTATAATAAGTGTTCTGAAAAATCTTTCAATAAAGCACAGTGTAGTCTGATGTCAGATTTAACTCTTCCG